GCTACCTGCATGTTGTAACAATATAACTATGTTACATGCAGAAACAATAGCTGCTACCAGTAAATCATACACTAAAATATTATCCAATCACTAATTTTTTCCCTCTCAGAAGGAACAAGTCTTCTCTCTGTGTTTCAACAATTGTTGCTTAGTTGTGAACCCTTTTCCACAAGCACTGCAGATAAATGGCTTCTCACCAGTGTGCTTCCTCATGTGGTTTCTCAAATTTGTTGTTATTCGTGTGGAATATGGGCAGAATTTGCATTGATGAATTTTATAAGCAATGGTTGCAGAGACACAAACATTTCCTGGAACCATCTGTGTGTAATTATATACAATTTTTCGTCCTGAAAAGTATTATTCAAAGGTTTGAAAACAAAGACTATGAGATAACATAAGAATATGCAAACATTACAACTTATGACATTCAAAGCACATAAATATTGTAACAAAAATTTACATTACAAATATATTTATCCTGGTAGATGTAATTTCAAAAATTTTGTTAATTAAGAAAAGAAATTTACTTTATGATATAACACGCAAATAAAGGTTTTAGAACAGGTGCAAAATTTCTACTCCACTTTGGCTAATAAATATTTGGATGAGGAAGTAATTGACAAAGTTTGACACTAAATTTACAACAGACAAACAGTATTTCTGTTATTTTAATTTTATAAAAATTTTTCTTACTTAACTGGCTTGTAATATGAGGAAGATATTGATACCATTGAGACTTTTTGGTAACCTTATGTTAATATTACTTTAAAGTAAATGTATTTCTATTTTTCAGTTTCAACATGATTTTGGACACCAAAAGGTTTTTATACCACATCTGATAACATTTTAAAAATTAATCACATTTAAAATTGATCACAAAAGTTTTTGTAGCACATCTGTTAACATTTCAAAAATCAATCACGTTTTTCCTGAAAATAGTGGCAAGCAAGCAAAAGTTTTATCAGGCTAATACCTTTAGATTGGAATTATATGCCCTATTTTAGATAATTGAATTCTTTAAAAGATAAGTTACATATTGATAGTTTCAGCAGAGAGGAAGTTCAGTTGGTAAAGCTCGGAGCACAGAAGAAAGATATTAATATTCAGGAAAAGTAACAAAACTTTTTTTAGTTAAAAATGGATCATTAATGTTTGTTAAAAGTTTCTGAATTTCTCTAAAATATGCAACATTTCATGTTTATTTATCCAGTTTTTGTACTGCCAGAGAGAGAGAGAGAGGGGGGTACAGTAAAAACTTTGTGAAACAGCACTATCATTATTAGTAATTTAATTTTCTATTCAGATTAAAATACGAAATTTCTGATTGTGATTTTATTTTGGATTTAGAATTCCAGTAGAAAAATTAGACTAAGAAATCTTTGAAGATTGAACTCCCTGCTTTACTTTATGTAGTTAATTTTGATCAATTATATATGTTAAAATTTTATATTGCTTTCTAGATTGTGTTTCCATACTTTCTGTGGGGTATGGAGTAATAATTGTGTAGCCATTTTCGTCAAGCTTAGATCACTAAAATAGTATCCTTTAAGGCAAGTTTGTCTTATTTTGATCAGAAGAGTGTTTTAAAAGTAACCGTAATTCAAAACAATAATAAACTTGGCAAGTAATTTTATGCTCGACACTGAACTTAGTTTGAGTAGGGATTTTGTTGTGTCTGTGTACAGTCAGCTGATTTTATCCTTATGGTATTAAGTACAAAAACATTGCTTAACCACAGATAATTAAACATTTGTCAAAAAAAAAAACAGCTCTCCGAAGGGTGAATATAACCATAGCACTTTAACGTTATCAAAGAATGCAAATGTTAAACTTTATCACGTATCTGGAAGTTCCACAGTTTTAACTTGCATATTGTGCAAGAAAATAATTTACTATATATTTATTGAAAAAATATTTTGTAAACATGCATCAATACTTGAAATAATATAGAATATTAATACATATAATTTTATTTTACATAATTTTATTTATATTCATCAAAAAACTAGTTAAGTAATTTTAATTTCAGATTTTTATTCCTAGACAAAATCACCTTTAACTTTATAACTTGTTGGGTGAAAAAGTTTAATTCTGAGGTACAGTACTTCGTTTGACATAAATAGAAGAAATTCATCTGTATTCTCCATTGTCATTTGAACTCACCATACCATTTTGACACCAAAAGACACGTCCGTTTCAATAAAAAATATTCAAAATTTGCGATTTTAAGAGTTTTTAATAAAATTTAGATATTTAACACTTAGATTAAAATGAAACACTAAAGAAATCAGAATCATGGTAGACATGGTAAAATAGACAAGTTAAATATTTCCCCCCTATTTGTTAGCTAACAATTCATAAAGATTTGATAGCATAAACTTTGGGGTTTTAATGTCAAAATACAGTCTTATTTTAATTTTTTTTATCAAAAAATCAGCGTTACTAGAATTTAAATCTTGCAAACTATAACATAATTTTTTAAAATGCTACATTTTTCAAGTGGACTACAAAAGAGGAATATTTTAGCTTTTATTACTCTTAATAGGTGGATCACACAGCTTTAAAAAGAATGGGGAAATTTTAAATTATGATGCAAATTTATTTTGAAAACAATTTGCTCTATATGTTTTTAGGACTGACAAAAATATAATTACTTTTTCCTTTTTTACCAACATAAAAAAGGTGCTTTTGAATTTGGTATTTTATTAATTATTACAATTTTAGTGAAGATTACAGTCTAACTGTTGTATTTATATATATATNAAAAAAAGGACATTGAAGATATCTTTAAAAATTTGTGAACCAAATCCATAAATAAAAGAACAAGCATTTAAGTTCTCCTGTTTATAAAAAGGGTTTAAAATACATTTATTACTGTGAGTATATATTACTTTTTCAAAATAATAGTAACAGAATAATCTTATGATTTTAATTTATTTTTTATTTAAAATTATAAAATTAAAGTTACAAATAAAATACAATTTTTTTTTAATACATAAAGTACATATTATTGTGAAGACTTGTAACTAAAATTGATGGCACAATAACTATACTCCAATAAATCTCCTAAACTGAATATTGTGGTTAAATTGCATTTCATTGATTCAAAATGAGTAAAATTAACTTTTCATTTCCACTGCAAATAACAATTTCGATTGCGAAGAAATTATTTTTGAATATTTAACCCTCGTTAATCATTTTGCATGCTCTTTACAATGAATGCTTTATAGTTAAAATAAAACTATCTAAACTCAAAGACTGGTAGATCAGATTAAATTGAAAGATTTAAATGGAACTGCAAATATATGTTAGTAGATCCTATAGTCAATATTTCTGTCCTAAGAAATAGTTTTAAATTTCAGCATCAGATGCCATCATACTGCTAAAAACCAAATACAAATGGCGCTGTTGGCCAACATGGTATGGACACTGATCTGTAAATAAATAAAATGTTCTGCTATTCCTTGAATTTAACTGATTTTTTTACAATGTTACAGCGCCATCTGTCTGTAAATTTTCGAAAGACTTTTTTGTATGAATACACTCAGTTACATTTCAACAGCCACCTCAGTGTAATAAAGTAAGTACAGATATAAAAAAAATGACAGCAGTGCATAACTGAATTACAAAAGAAGAAAAAAACAGCTCAATATTAAAAATTGTTTGTTTAAGACTAATATCATAGTTAAAAAAAGCAATATAATTTCAGCGACAAACTTTCAAAGCTACATGATAATCCTTGGAATCTTTCCTGGCGAATCTTTTTCCACAAAATTGGCAAGCAAAAGGACGTTCACCAGTATGTCTAAGAAGGTGATTTTTTAAATGTCCTGAGTTTTTTGTTGAATAAGAGCAGTATGGGCATAGATGTATTTTGAGTAGTTTTTGAGTCTTTCTAATGGAGGTCTCTTTAAAGATATCTGGCATTAATCCTACAAATGATAAAAACAACAAATTATATTTTTTCACATGATGAGTTTTGCAAATGAAATATATGCAATTTTCAAAACTTGCCAGTTTCACAGAATTTAATAAAAGTAAAATTTGAAATAAATTTTTTAGAAATATGAAATTCAGTTATTGCATTGTAGATATTGTAAAACTCATTGAAAAAATAAATAAAATCAAACAGCAATTAAGAACTTTAAAGGGAAAAATACTTTTAGATTTTTGTCAGAAAATAAATAAGGTGGTATATTATAGATCTTTCTAATTATTAATGATTTTTCTAGACTTATTATGGTAGAGTAGTAATTATTAATTTTTCAATCAATCTCAATCAATTGATCAATTCACACATTTCTATTTATGCATTTTAATGTTAGGTAGTTTGATGATATTGTTTAAAGTGTTAAAATTCTATTTCAGTTCAATAATTTCCATGCACATGAAACTAATAAACAGAAAACGGTAATAAAATGCGGAGCTTACATTAGCCACAATAAAGTGAAAGACAATTTAAAAGATGTCACATAATATGTTATGAATTATAAAAATAAAACTTTCTAGGCTACTGCGATTTAAATTTTTCTTTGAAAAAAATTTTTTAGTACTCAAAAATTTTAAAAACCAAACATTGAAAAATAACTTTAAAGGGGAAAATATTTTTTAAATTTTGTTCAGAAAATAAATAAGATTATATATTATAGAGAAACGATCTTTCTAAATATCAATAATTTCCATGCACATGAAAAAGTAAACAGGAACAGGCAAATACACTACGGAATTTATATTATCCAAAATAAAGTGGAAGACATTTCAAAAGAAGTCACATAATATGCTATAAATTATAAAAATAAAACTGATATATATGTATCAATTAAAAATATGTAACTGAAATAAAACTTTGATGAAACGAAATTTCACCTGATTTTCAGTATAAAAATATATTTATTCATTAATAGCTTAAAAAAGCATAATATTTATAAGCGCCACTACTTGTTTGTAGCACTGACTGTTTAGCAGCAAAATTGATAAATAAAATAAAACTAAACAGCTTGTGCAACAGCAATTTCTTTTATTTTTCTCTATATTTAAAGTTGCAAAAGAACACCAAAATATACATTCATCGAAACAGTGATACTTATCAATAAATACATAATATTTTATAATTTTAAAACACTTGGTACATTATTTTGAGAAAAAAATTTTTTTAGTACAAAATTTAGTTTATTACTGGTTTTGAAGAGAGCTTTTTAAACTATACAAATAAATAAGCTCTAGATATATTTTGTTTTTCATTAAAAAAAAGAGCTTTTTAAACTATACAAATAAATAAGCTCTAGATATATTTTGTTCTTCATTTAAAAAAAAAAGAGTTAAAAATAGTCAAAAAATATTTAATTAATTAAAAATACATTATTTATGGGATAGTTAAAATTAAACTGAAAGTACTCAGAGCTTTTTTAGTTCCACAGAACAGATTCAATTGAAACTTAAAATACAAGTAACATTGTGGTCCTGATTTCCGTGGGAAAATATAACATTAAAGTTTGCGAAAGGATGGTGTTTCTGATATATGCTGATAATAATGTGATACATTTTCAGCATATTGTAGATCAACAAGATATGCACACAGATGTGTCAATAATTAAAAGAGACAAACTTGGTATTCTTTTGTTCTCTCCCTCTTTTTATTTTTTAAAATTTCATTAGAATGCCACCTTAAGGTAAAAACTTTAATTGTGTTTTTAGCTACCTGATCTACATAACATAAATGAGAAATTTCATTTAGATCTGTTATGAAGGACTGAAGCTACAACTCTGATTATTATCAGTTTAATTTTATTTACTCTAAATCCATTTTTAAAACTTGTGTCTTAAAAATATAAATAACATTTTTAATCAACAAAATCATAATGAAATCAATTTTGTAAATATATTTGTGGTTTTGACTTCTTACAAAGGCATCTATCACAAGTTTAAGATAGAAATGTGTATAATTCAAGGTAATTTACACATTCTAGAGTATTTTAATTTCAATCCTGAAGAAGCCCTCTACTAAACTCAACATTTACTATTTACACTTGTGTGTCTTGTCACTATGTGATATTTTAAATAATCATTTCTCATAAATTTCTTGTTACAATATTTGCACGTGTATGGCTTTTCACCAGTATGAAGGCGAATGTGGTTCTTTAAAGTAGTAGGATAGATTGTTTTATAGTCACAGTAAGTACAACTCAGTTCTTTTCGGAAGACTAGCATGCTAACTCCACTATTAGTTACAGAAGCTGAAAAATAGAAAAAAGTCATTAGTATGAATAATGAAATAATCTCTTTCAAGGTAAAAAAAAAATAAAAATATGAGAAATATTAATGTAATCAAACCTTTCAAACATTAACAACTGAATTATCTTAGATAAAATTAGTTTTAAACTAATAATTTTAGTAACTATATAGTAACAGTAGCTTATAATAAAAAGATAACAATATATTCTTTACAAGTTTTTTTCATACAATGCAGAATGTGTACCTTTATTAGGAAGAGAAAAAAAAACAAGATGAACAAATATTTTAACAAAGCGGTACTAATTTCATGTAATAGATCTTAGAACTGACACGTCATTGACACCACACCAAAAACATTAAACTGCCAGTTGGCAAATTCATGATTTTTGCATAGGCAAATATACATCGAGGAATTTTAAGGGATGAATTAACAAAATATCTAAAAGAAAATAATTTATTTGTCCATTTGAAAGTCATAACGAATATTTTCTAGTTGACGCTTATGACGAATCACTCACTTGAGTTTCAGTTCTTTGTTGCCAGTGCAAAAAAAAATATTTGCGACTTGGTGGCAATAAAGTTTACACGCATGCATTAGTGTTTCATATAATATAGATTATATATACAATTGTGACAATCTAAAATCATCTTAAATTCAGTGATATTCAGAAAAAACTACTTAATTATTTTTAAAATTTTTTCTTAGCAATTATTTTCACTAACTAACATTTCTTATGATATGTATTTTAAATAAAAAAAAAAACATTATTTTGCAATTCAAGCAATTTGTCATGTATCTGCTCCATCTGCAAATTATATAACAACTCTTCAATAAAACATTTAATTACACCAGCACTAGCTGCATTACTAAAATTATATACATAAACATAACTTTATGAAAAAATAGTTAACATACAGAATACAGCAATGAATGTAGAATTATTGGATGAAATGAAATTTTATTGAATGTAGGAAATATTCAACAGAAAACAAATTATCTAATAAAAACAATGCATGATCAAAATGATGCATATTTGAAAGCACATGCATGCATAAATTTTTGTTCATTAACAGATTTAGATGTTAGTACACTTTGCTAATATTTTAATTCAAATTTCTCACAAGAAAGGCTATTTTTTACTAAGTTTGATATTAATTTTCTTTTAGCACGCTGTGTGAATATGATTCACCTAACAAATTGACATTAGATATGGATAGAATTGCTCAATCTTAACAGTTTCAGTTTTTAGACAAGATACAGCTCATCCTTGTAATTCTAATAACAAAACCAAAATACCAGTAGAATACAAAAGTAAGAAAAAATAATATTTCTTTGGAAAGCACTTCATATAACAGCATTACTGTTATGAATAAAATCATTAGTGCTCCATAAAAATAGGTTACAAATTATTATTGAAGAATGTTAAAGGAAAAGAAAAATCTTATTTAATGCATAAGCTTAAAAATTTATAACAATAACAAACAGTAGAATACTGATATTGCCCAGCTGTTCCAGGTAGCCGAGCACTTTGATCAATCCGTTTTTGCCTTTATATTGTAATTTACGCCGGCAAAAAAACTAACCCAAAGGTTAATACAGGGCTTGGGCAAATTAATGGGAACACATTTTTTGATCGTTTTCAAAAAATACTTAGAGAATAATTTTATAAATTTAGAATGCGATTAGGTTATGCGATTTCGCATCCTTATCAATGAAGTTTAAAGCTTTTAGAGGTCTGAGAAACCGACTATTAATTACAAACAAAAAATAGTGTTTAAAACTATAACAATACATTTGTAAGTTGGAACAATTATTTTTGTTATTGTACGAGATAAGTGCATAAACTTTCTTACACCTAGCTTAAATATTTATGGAAATATGGACATCTTATAAAAAATTAATATTTTTTTATTAATTTAATTATATTTTTATAATTTAGAGTAAATACACTAACTACTGCCTTGCTTGCTGAAATAGATAAAATTAAGTGTGGCCTATTTTTGAAAGAATTATAAATTTTTTTATAAGTTTATTTAATCTACTATGGAAGTAAATCCACCCCTTATTTTTGCTTTACAATAAAAATTAAGGGGGAAAAGATGTATTATACCATTTTATTAAATGATAACAGAATTAAACAGAACAAAGCATGATAAAGAATTTAAATCAATATATTTATTTTTCAAATTATCAAAAGATTTTGTTTGGTATTACAGTAAAATATTCTTATCTACACAGCTTTAGTAGATATTTTTTCCCTATCTTTTTATATTAACAATTTATGCAAAACACAATGCAAAAAGGAAGATGCAATGAAAAAATAAAAAGACCTAATCAACATTTATTGTTTTTTTAAAATAAATTATACACTTAAAAATAAGTTTTTTAAAGAGATCACCAAATAGCTGAAAATGAAAAAAAAAAGGTTTTTAAATTGTAAAAGTGGATCTAGCACTTACTTTTAATGAACCAAAGAGAATAACAATTTATTTCGTACAGCAATGGGTCAGTTCCATGACACTGAGCTTTTGGAGCTACCTCCAAATTGCTTCAGTGAAAAGTAAACAATCCTTTGAGAGTCAAGTTTTGAAATGATCTAGTCTTTATTCTTAAACCGAGGAACCGATAAAACCGAGGAAAGTTTTTTGCTTGATTTTTAGCAGTATTGTCAGAACATTTTGGAGCCAGCTTCAAAAACAAGTAAAAAAACTGACACTATTTTAACGTTAATTAACAAACTATTAAGTTCATTACTGTCCACGGACTTATTTTTTAAGACAGTTTTAATAAAGCAACAAACATTCGTAGGAATCACTTTTACAAGAGATATTACTCTTTAGTACTCTCGTTATTTTAAGTTTTATCAATTGTACTCATTAAGCCATCAGTGATAACACATCAAATTTTTACTTTCACGTTCAATTTGAAACTAGTTTTTTGTGCTGTACAGGAAACCGTGTTAAGTTTAAGTTTTTATGAATTAATTTGTATCCAGTAAATATTTTAGTAAAAATAATTGTTAGAATATTTGATTTCTTTAAATCTTAAAGGGATTGATATTTCTGTAGTTCTTTTTAACATATTGATTTGCCTTTCAAATTTTCTGACTATTTCAAATAAAACAATTTTATTTCTTGACAATATTTCAGTTCATTTCATGAAATTAAATATTAATAAACAGAACATAAAATTGGGACTAGGGTATTAATGGATAAAGTAAATAATATGATGACGTGAAGAAATAGAATTCACAACATCAAAAAAATAAACAAATAAATGACTTCTTAAAAAAAGATTGTAAGAGTTATTAAAAGATATTCAAAATGCTGCTTCCTGTCTGTGCTTTCTGAATAAATGACCATTTAAATAATCTTTACGCATAAAACGTTTTCCACAAATTTTACACATATAAGGTTTTTCTCCAGTGTGAGTGCGAATATGGTTTTTTAAATTGGTAGCATAAACAGTCTTATAGTTACAATAAGTACAAAAAAGTTCCTTCACACTCTTGAGACCAAGAAAGCCATAACAGTCATCTCTAACTGAAAACAGAATAAAAATGAATAAGTATCAACAATTTAGACAAAGGAAAAATAATACAGGATAGTGGTATAGATTTGGAAATGCTAAAAAAATGCAAAATATATAAAAAGGTTAAGTTTTTTATTATGTTCTAATATTTAATGTGAAAGATTCATGCAGTATCTTTTTTCATGTTAACTTTTAATAGCTCTCAAAAATTGTTTTAGGTGATACATAGTTAATGTGCAAAATGTAACAAATGTCAGTAAATATCTTAACCCACTGATGGTTCTGTACATAAAAAGTCTTATTCTAAAAGTCATTCTGTACATAAAAAGTCTTATTCTGCAGTGTTTTTTGCATAGCAATATCGGTTTTTGCATGTTATTAGATAGGCGAATAATGTATTGGAGAGAAACATTCTCCTAATTTTGCCCATTTGTTAAACTTACAGTGGGTTAAAGGGGCATATCAAGAACTGATTTTTTTTCCTTCAAATTTTATGATAAGAAATAATGCTTTAATTAAATTCATTGCTCATAATTTAGTGAAAATTTTTTTATTTTGAACAATCAACATATTAATAGAAGACTCTGCTTCCTTAAATTTTAGAGTTGTTTTTATGCCTCAAATTTTTCATTTATTTTCGTAACTATTTCACTAGAGAGAAAAAAACTACTCAACAAAAATATTGCCCTATGAAGATATGAACTTAAGCCTATCAATTTCTGCCTATTAACTATCACCAATGGCAAATAGGTAGATACGAAAAATTAATGAGAAATTTTTTTTATATCCCTCTCCCTATTCTACATACTAAAAAATAGTTTATTCTATGCATAGAGGCTTTCTTTTATAAGTCTGAAGAAAAATTATTTCATCAAATACTTAAAAAAGCGATTCCATAACAAAACACATTTTATTCATTATAACTTCTCGAAAATCAAGCCCTTATGAATACATTAAATTCATGAGAGTAAATAAATATACATTCTTTAAAAACAAGTAAAGGATGAACTCCTTAATTTCAAGTCTAAGACATTGTTTTTTGTTAGACATAAATTTGCTTCCTTTTGCAATTTACTTCATGCCTCCTTTGATGGCTTTTTTGTGCAAAGGATTTGCCACATATGGTGCATGGGTACAGTTTTTCTCCCGTGTGACTTCGAATGTGATTTTCCATGTGACCTTTATGAAGTGTAGAATAGTTGCAGTAAGGGCAATGATGTATTTTTCTACCAAGATAACTTTCAGCAGGGGCAGAAAAATATTCTGAAACAAAAAAACATATATTATAAAAATAACAAAATAAAAATAGTAAAATAAAGAAGTAATGATAACACAAAACAATAATAATAAAAAAATTAATAATAACGTTAAGTTTTAAAATTAATGATAAATAATCTGTGAATTTTTGCATTGAATGCTTCGTCCATGTCTAGGATTGTGGGAGGTATCAAAGCAGAGTTTACTGGAGCAGATAAATGAATATGGTACTGGCACAAATAAATGTGCAGGATATTTTTAAAGCTTTTGAGAATAAATTTTTAATTGACAATAAATTTCCAATTAATTCATGTCCAAAAAAAGTTCACATAAAAATATATGTGATGCATGGTCTAATTAACATAAAACAAAGCAATTAAAACTGGTACCATCATTAAATTTGAAGCAAAGCATACATTAAAAAAATAATAAAAATAAAAAAAGAAAGAAAAATAATATTAATAACAAAATAATACTCTAATTATTTGATAATAATATTAAATAAATAGAAAATAATAATTAAAATATAAAACAAGAACACAAATTTTGAACAAAAATAGTTTATAACAAAATTATTTTATTCATAAAATGTAGTTTAAAGTACAGAATTACACATTCTAAGAATAAAGATTGAACAACAGAAAATATTTTAAAAAGATAAAAGTAATTTACTTGTAAAGTAAATTACTTGTATTTACTTGTAAAGTAAATTACTGGGTGAACTTATTTGCACTTTAATAAATTCTTCAAACTATCAACGTTACTGAAAAAGCTTAATATGACTTAACCATTAAAAACATGAAAATGCTTGTAAATGAAACAACATACATTTTAAACAATATATTTTTTTAAAACAGCAGATTGTGTGAACAACGGTTTCAAGATTTAATATAAGATATAACAAAAAAGAAAAATCATGTAGCAATTAGTTCTTATACATTTTGAATAAATCATAAGAAGGGAAAAAAAAAGATTGAATAATTTTATGAGATTTAACTCAAATGCATAACAAAGAGCTGAAGTTGTAAATTGTTCAGGGAAAAATTAAAACATGCATTATAAATAAGAACAAAAACTAAAAAATATGTTTGGAAGCATACAGTTCACAGGGTGCGTATCTTTGAATCAAAAATAAGCACTTTTTAAAAACTTTTCAAGCACTTTACAAAAATTTTCAAGCACTCAAAAAATTCATATTCAATCAATGATATTATTGAAAAACAAAAACTTTTTATAAAGAGTTTTAGCGTTAAAAAAAACCCAAAAAGAAACGGACGTAAATCAAAACAAACAGTACTTTCCCACATCACCGAGTGAATTCAACTTGACCCTGAACTCAGAAAAAAAGTACCCTTACCCCCTACGTCAAAAAAGTGTTAGAAGTAAAAAAAAATAAAGAAGAATAAGTTAAAAAGAAAAACATTTAATAAGGATCTAACTCTATCCGAATTGGAGCACTCGGGTTTAAGTTTCGAGTGCGTGCGCTAGCAAGTCATAATGTGGGTACGACATGAAGTCCGCGTGAATGATTACGAAGCAAACACCCCATTTTTCGTGAAATGCATGGGATCCACCAGATATCACTCAGGAAAAAAAAGCACTTTTTAAAAACACCAGGTGAAAAAAGCACCTGCAAAAGCTTTTAAAAACGAAATCCCCCAAAAAGCACCTTTAAGTACTTTTTACAAACGCTACGCACCCTGAGTTCAATTGCGAAGCAGTTAAGCACATAATTTTAGTGCAGAAATAAAATAAAGCAACGATGTTCATACCTGTTAAATGTAGGGCAAATGGTCTTATTAGAAATTTAAAAGTTTGTCAAAAAATATTAGAATTCGTAAAATACAACACAAAAGCAATAAAAGTGAGAAATTGTTTTTAATTGAATGCCTCATCCATGACTAGGACTCTGTCTCATTAGAACAAAAGTTCAATATTGGCTTTTTTTAATTGTTTATGCAACTTCTCAAATCAATGCTCGTTGTCCAAGTTCTGGCTTACATACAGAATCAGTTTTGAACCATTCCTCAAAATAAAATACTTAGCAATTTTATGGATAATATAAAGAAAACACACCACTAAATGATATTCTTATCTTAAAAAAAGATTTAGAAAAGATTTATTGAAATTTTGATAGTTAATGGTAATTTTTATTTATTTTACACAACGAGTATATGCGTTATACATACTGTAATAGCAATTCGCTTGGCTGGTAAAATTAGATTCTGAAATCCTCTAAAAACTCTTTAAATTTGGAACAAGAGTCTTTGCAAAAAGCACTTCAAAATATATAAAGAACAATCACTCCGTCAATTTCTAAGTTAAAGGTAAAAGAAGAAGTATAACATATTTTATGCCAAGAAACTAAAAAGTGCACACTTGGCCAATAGTACCATTATATAATGACAAATTTTTGTTTCCTTTTAACTGGTATTTTTACTCAGCATTTTTAAACAAGTAAACAAATAATTATGTTTTCATTAGTAGTCTTTTAAAATTGTATAAGGAAAAAAAAGCTTGCATATTAATTATTATAAAATTACTTTTTTGCTAGGATATTAAAAAAACCACAAAAGAAAAATGCTTAAAAGTGCTTTCCATACATGCAATATATGGTTACATACAAGGTTGACAACCAATAACTAACCCAATAAAAAAACATATTATAATGCTTATTACAATATTAAAACCAAACCTTCTAGTGAACATGAAAAAGCAACATACATATTAATCTTCAAAGCCCTTAATATAGATATGTATTACAAAATTTTCTGCATTTGGCCAGTAACTTACTTATGATTTGTTCTATTCCTTGCAAAAAGCTTTTGCATGGCCAGCAAACTCTTATGAGGTAAGCATTTATCTCAGAGATACACCAAATAGTAAAGTCCATTGGATACAAGGCTGGAGAATTAGGTGGCCATTCAGTCTGAAAAATGTGTCTTGCAAAATTGAGTACTTTTAGCTGTATGGGCAAGAGAATGAATCTTGCTGAACGGATCCATTTTTGGTTTTCAAAGAAGTTTTTTGACCAAGGAAACATACCATTTTCCATATTGAGTATACAATAAAACTATTCAGTTTCAACAATCATTCAAGTTTTTTTTGTCACTTTCTAAAGTAAAATTTCAAATTTTGTTGAACAAAATAAAGTGAAAATTAGTAGGTAATCATGCCACATTACCACAACTTCATAAATTGCTACTATTAATGCAAGTTCAATATGAAATCCTATTTTATTAATTCACGCTTAAAAAATTGTTTAAAAATGCTGAAAATTAATATATACGTTGATGATTTAGATAAGTAGATTAAAAACAAAATCTAAAACATTATTATTCAATAAAGCATCACTTCAATAAATGTTACATGTTTCAAGCTTTAGCAACAGGAACGTGGGACTTCACAATGTGATTCTTTAAATGTTCTTTCCGCATGAAGCACCTAAAACAAATCTGGCACACAAATGGTTTTTCTCCGGTATGAGTGCGAATATGGTGTTTCAAGTTTGTAATATGCATTGTCACATAGTCACAGAAAAGACAGGAATGCACTTTGTTACGATTTTTACTGCGTATTCTTTTTCTTTTGGGCGGAACTTTAAAAACTGAAAGAAAAGGAAAAACATAGTTATGTATATATATACAAGATTGAAAATAAAGAAATGCATAAATAGTACTACTATAAAATGAAGAATATACTTTTAACTTGTTTAAAAATAGAAGACATATGTTTTGTTGTGCTTATCTTGGAGACATGTTGATGTGCCTCTTTTGCTAATAACATTTTTTTTAATATACTTCCAAAAATGGTAATAAAGATCTTTATAAGTGGATGTGTGTTACTTACCACGTTTTTGCTAAACATTTCTAAAGTGAAATTGGCTCATTAATAAGCATTTCAAAGGTCATTTTACATTTTTATTTACCGTTGGTAGTTTTCAAAACTCTTCTTAGCCTATATGCTGCATAAATAAAACTTCATTAAAATGTTGAAAATTTTAGATTCAAATAATGTGAAGTGAAAATACATGAACACATCCAACTAATAAAAATTAATTGTAACAGCTTCCCTCATCAATTTTTTTAAAAGAAAATAAATAAATATAATAAAAAAAGCAACAACAAAAAAATAAATAAATAAAATAAAGACTGTTAAGAGAATTGTAAGTTTTATTCAATTATTTAACACGAGTTGTAACAAAAGATAATACATATGGTTTATTATGAATTTTGAACTATCTCTATGTTAAAAAGCATTGTTTTTATCACCAGTTTACCAACTCTAGTTCCCTCAGGCAACTTCAGTGGGATTGTCCCAATTACTTGAGCTTTCACCCCTTGATGAAGCTACTTGCAAAAAATCCCTTCTTATGTATTCATATCTTCCTTATTCAAAATTACAAAATAAATAAGCAATAATATGCATTGCTTTTGCATGCGCTTATCTTTTTCATAAAAAATTTTCAGTGTAACTTATTTACTCTGCATCCATGATGCATACAACCTGGCAAAACACACGCTAAATTCTATGATCGAACTCTGAAGCTTCAGAACAAAACTTGGCAAATTGCCATTCCAAGCAGAATGCTTTCTCATTGTAACCAACCAGAGATAATTCCAGATAATCTAGGAAGTTGTTAATAATATGATTTGAAGTATCATTTCAAAAACTTTACCTAACGAGCTACCACTATGAGATCTAAAGTGCCACCATTTACATGTAATAATAAAAAACAAATGAAGAAAAAACAATTTTCTGAATACATGGGTGAAAAATCTAATTTAGAAATTTTTAGACTCTAACATAATACAGTTTGATACATTTAACATAATACAGTTGAAGATAATTGTATAAGACTTCATATTACATTACTGATGTTTAAAACAAATAGTTTGAATAAGAGTATATGAATCTTAGTTGCCTTGAAAAACTTAGTTGGTACTCAATATTTCAGTAAAACTTAGCATGAAAGCAGAATGCCAATATATTACTTTTCAATCCCTGATATATTCACTCATAAAAATTTAACAGTTCTTGTAGGCCTTGGGGAATTGACTTTTAATAACTAAAATCTGTTATGCAAAAAAGGGAAGTAAAAAAACCTTTTACTTTTTATTTGGTTCTTGGGTATGATTGCAAAATATTAATTTCATAAAAGCGTTTATTTTTTCTCTTTCAAAATATAAATTATTTGAGTCAAGTTGATGATACAATAAATTTAGAAATATATTAGATCAGAGAACAGTTTTAATGCAGTATTTGAAATTAAATTGACAATTGAAAATTATAAAATACAATAAGAAAAAACTTGTCAAAATATACTGATATCAAAGTTAGCAATTCATTTTGGTTAAAAATATGGTTGAAATAGATCTCAAATTCAATTAAAATTTTGAACAAAATAATTAAAATGGCTTAAAGATGACTGATACGAGTGCCTGAAAATAAAATGAAAGCTTAAAATAGATATTAATAAATAAAATATGAAAAAAGTATTGCTTTAAGTATTAATGAATACAATACCTAACCAATAAATGAAATATATAATGGTATTGATAAATATTTTAAAATTTTATTGATAAATATAAATGTTCTCTTAATATACTAACAAAAGAAAAATAAATTTATAATATAGAGAAATTTTCTTTTATTGCACAATACAACATAACTGTTTTTCCAAGCATTTAGGAATATAATTTTTTTTAAACATGAAACTTAAAAGTTTTTAAGTATAATAAGTAACAAAATTCTCTATCAATTCAAAGAAGCTGGTTTAATTAGCATAGAAAAACTTTCAAGAGGAAATAACTATACTTCAATTCTTCTAATTTTACATAACATTGACTAAAAAGTAGTACATGATTCCCATTTTACATATATTCTACAAGTTTGACAAATTATAAAAAGAATTATACACTTGCAAAATTAAGTGATTGGATGTTAACATTTAAAACGATAAAATTATTCTCGTTAGATTGGTAAAGAATAAAAGCAACTGGAACCTGAACTGAACTTAAAGCCAATAGCTAAATTATTGGAAAGAAAAATTTTAATAATTATAAAATTTTTGCAATTTGATAATTAATAAACAATCAACAGTTTAAAAGTTATAACTCATTAATTAATCACCATTTTTTTATATAATTAATATAATTTTAGAAAATAGTCCTCATTTGCACATTAGCTAAAGATTTTTACACATCATCAAACCATTATTTTTAATAGTTTTGTTTTTTTTTTTTTTTTNTGTTTGAATAGTTTTTTTTTTTTTTTTTTTTAATATTCCAGAAATAAATATAATCAAATCCAAATAAGTACGAAAGAAAATGTCCATTGCTATTCAAGGTATAATTTTCTAAGTTAAAACATTTTTCAAAGATCAAATATTTTAAAAAACTAAACAACTGTAAAGTTTATTTTGAAAATTGAGTTTGTTTTTAAATGAACTATAATAAATAGAAGTTAGGTCCTACTATTACAGTTTAACTAGTCAGTACAAATTGAATCATTTAATTTAAAAAAAAAATTAAAAATCACATTATTTATAAAAGGATTAATAAATTCCACATTGGGAAATACTTTATTAAATTACTTCTATAAGACTTTCAAAAACTTTACTTATTAATTTAATTTGTCAATGCCCTTCATGATTTCTTATTGACTAGTTGCATTAAATTTTGGATGATTGTGTGATTAAATTCTTGAATTAGTGTAGGTAGAGGAGTACATCTTGAGGACAAAATTGAATCATATTACTGCATTGCGGTGACAGTTGAATAAATGCTTGTAAAGATGATCTTTACGAGAAAAACGCTTTGAACAATATTGACAACCGTATGGTTTCTCCCCAGTGTGAACACGCAGATGGTTTTTTAAGTTAGTGGTTACATAAGTAGAGTAACTGCAGAATTCACAGTGATGCATTTTTGCACTTAGGTTCTTTAGCCTCTTATCTTCACTGCTATCATAGATAACAATCCTTTTCAAGCCTAAAAGTAAAATATTTAATACAGATAATTTAGAATTGAGAAAAATTGCTAAAAAAAGTTTATGAAGACAATTAAAAAGATAACCACTTTTCAAGAAATTTAAAACTCAGAGGTTTCAACTTACCAAACTAGCTATCCGTAATCAAAAATACAATAATACATATAGCGTTAATAAAATTTGAATAGTGCAATTTCAAGATATTTTTGCACCTTAATTTCATATAGGTAAATAATTAGTATTAATTATATTATGCATGAATTCACCATTAAATAAAAAAAAACATGTAAGGGTTCATATTTCATATCTCTTAAAAGTTATGGAAAAAAAACTTGTTTATAACAGATTATTATAAAAATTCTGAAAAATTGTAACTTTCATAAATATTACGGAGAAATTATACACGGGCGAAAATATGTTCCATTAACACAATTACTTAAAGAAAAAGAACTTTATATATATGAATTTTCACCTCCCCTTTAAAAGAATCATAAATAGTATCTATATTTAGCAATATAGGTTTTCTACACAATTCAAATGTTTAAAACACTTAAAGCAAATAATCAAACTTTAACAACCCTTTCCTTGTTACAAAAAAAAGTAATGACTTTATATCAGCATGTTACAAAATATTGTACAGCATTTCAGATCTTATTAAAGTAGCTAAATTATAATTGCAGCATCATCATAAACACTGTACAATATATGAACTATTTTAGAAATTTTTATTCTGTAGAATATTAATATTTAAATTTATATGTTAAAAGTAAATTAACAAAATTGCTCCAAATTTATTTTTTTCTAATAAATAAAAAATACATTATTTGCATATCAACAAAGAACATTATTTGCATATCAACAAAGTTATCTGCTTAAAAGAGTTATTTCATTTACATATTTGAAAAAAAAACTGAATTTATAAGACAGATACTCCACATAAAAAATTTAAAAAACAAAAGAAAAACATAAATAATGCAATGTTTTTTCACTTTTTTTTCACTAATAATAAAATACTCTAACTAATTACGCAATGCATGTTTCAGTCAGGTATTGGTTTCTAAAAACAAATAAAAGTTACAAATAAAATTGCAAATATTAACTTAACCTTTAGTAACATATGTATATATATGAACAAACTAACATAAAAATCTTCTGACATATTTGTATGACATTTTAATCAGGCAGCTGTATTTTGATTAAAATTAACAGTTAAAACAAGCACACAGAGCAAAGTGAAAGATGAAACTTGTACATGACAACAGAAAAACCACACTTGCAGAAAAACTATTGCAATTTCCCAATGGCTAAATTAAAGGTTATCTTCAGGCTATCCAATATTTCAAGAATATGCTCCATGCTGGTTATTTTAATTTTTATTCAGTAATAAATGCTTTGGATTTTAATGACTAGTTTTTCTATATTAGGTTCCGGACAAAATTCACTGCAAAAATAAGAACATATCTGCCTTGATGTTGAAACATTGAAAACTTTTTTACTTCCACGCTAACTGATAAAAATCAATTAATGATGTTCAGCTTTGTTAATGCTTTTATTTGGACAGAATAATCCAAAATATCAATTTTAAATGTAACACATAGCTTAAAATAGGTTTTTCTGGTTTAAACTATAATTTTAAAACAAAGAGCTTACAAAATTTTTGTGCTTTAGCATTTTTTAAAAAGTTTCTTTCTTTTTTGTCACCAGCTTCAACTGTCGCATGCTTACGAGGCCTGGTATCTACCCTCATGCAACAAAAAACTTTATACGTTTTGCAGTGTTTAAAAAAAAATACATAAATTACTAAATAAAATTTATTCTATGTTATGAAAGTGTTTGTTATTTTCTAAAGTTTTTTGGGTAAATGAATAAAATTATGTGATAATAAATGGTGTTTCTGCACAAATCCTTTCCCACATAATTTGCAAACGAATGGCCGTTCACCAGTATGAATTCGTAAATGCTGTTTTAAATGTCCACCGTTAAATGTCGTATAAGAGCAAAAAGTGCATTGGTGCTGTTTTACTTGAAATGTTCTTTTGCCATCAGATATTTGAAACTTTTCTCCAAAAACAGCGTCTTTTTTTCGAAAACCTAAAAAAAAAACATTACAGTACTTATTTTACTACAGCCATTTGATCACTATATAAAGCATAATACTACACATAAATGTTCTTTTTGAATAGTGGTTTAATGCCATTTAATAAAATTTAAAATTATCATCTTAAGAAGTTCATAAAAGTCATTTTTTATCTTAAATTCAAAATAGTCTGAAATCTTATTTCTGCTGCTTAACACAAGGTATCCAAATTCTGACAAGATAGGAAATATTTCACACATGTTAACTTTAAAGCTCAGTATATTAAAATAAACAAAAGGAGAGTTTGAATACATATCCAATAAGGCCTTTGCATATTCTCATACAAATTTTTAAAACCAACAAATATTATTTTTTTTAAGATTATAAAAAAAAACTTATTTTTTTGTCATAAATATTTGATACACACAACTAGATATTTCATTTTTTTCATGGAATCAAATATTCTCAATCAAAATGACATTTAAATTCAAAAAATATACCGTAGTAGAAATCTAATTAAATATAAGTTAACAATCTTGAAAAAAACATGATTTAACAGAAAATACTATAATGCATTAGTTTCGTTTAAGTTGAGCACTAATTTTTCTCCAAGCTATTCATAGCGAGTTTTGATAGATTTTTTTAAAATGAAGTTTAGAATTAAAGTTTCAAAATTTTAAATTTCATTCTTTTCTTGTTAGGTCTTTGAATTTTACATTTCTGTATTATCAAACGAATAGAAACTTTTTAACATTTTTATATTCATTATTTGAGTTATGAATTTTAATATAATTTATTTAATATAACTGCCATTATAGCTGCTTATTTTATTTCTCCAATTTAAACAAGAATAATTTTTAAAGTTTTTCTTTTTAGTTTTTGTCAACTTCAAAATTTTTTTTAAAGGTATTGTTTTGCTGGGATAAAATAATGTTCAATACATAATGTTAACGTGCAAAATCAACCAGATTTTATAATAGTCACCTATTACTTTTATGAAATATTGCTAGTATAAAAAGCATTTCATTTTAAAATTAAACGTGATAAATGAAGTCAAATGGTTTTTCTTTTAAATAATGGATAATTATAAATTGATAACAAAATATAGAATAGTTGAAAGTTCTAACTGATTTTTTTGCATTCATTTATAGGCAAAATTTTTACTCTTGAATTAATGCCGCCCTCTAAGTTGCATGTCGCTTTAACTCATTTTGTCTAATACCACATATATAGCATATATTTTTTCTTTGTTATTGTTCTCAAATTTGCAATCCGGTTTAGAATCAGAAGAAATACATAATAATAATTAGTGACATAGTTAATTATAGATATACCTGGTAAGAATTAAACTTGAAATACATCCAGACCATTAAGGGTTAAAATAACTAAAACTGAAATTTGCAAATAGTTATAAAAATTTATTAAGATTCACACATGTTAACAGAATTGTATTCTGTAGTTATATCAATACAATCAGTATTTTTGAGCATAAATAAACAATAACACCTACGATTAGGGCAAAATTAATTTAAAAAATATGAAAAGAAAAAAATTTGACAACAAATGAAGTATTACATACTTGAGTAATACATACTAATGTTTAAACATATAATAAAAATTGTTTTAGTGGTTAATGTTTTTTGGATAAATGAGTGAAATTATGTGCTTGCAAATGCTGTTTTTGCACAAATCTTTTACCACATAACTCGCAAATAAATGGCCGTTCTCCGGTATGCACTCGTAAATGTTGATTTAAGTTTCCAGCATTCAAAGTTGTGTAAGAGCAAAAAGTGCATTTGTGCCTTTTTATTACATTTTTTTTCTTACATCCATCAGATGTTTGAAACTTTTCTTCAAAAACATTTGCCTTTTTCCCCAAACCTAGAAAACACCATCACGCTTAATGTTATTATGATTTTTTTTTACCATAAATAAAAAATATAAGTGAAAATGTAGCACAATCAATAAAAAGTAACATTGTGTAAGTTATAGTTCAATACATAGAACAATGTTTAGAAATTCTTCTTTTTCATGTGAGTTTTCCTATGGTACACTAAAGTATATTTCTGAGTGAAACGCTTTCCGCACAACTCGCACCCATACGGTTTTTCTCCAGTGTGTGTTCGGAGATGAATCTTCAAAACATCACTACGATGTGTTGAATAATTACAGTAAGGGCAGTGATGCTTTTTCAAACTGCGTCTAATTTCACCAGTAAAATAAATCAGTTCTGGAAATAAAATTAAAAATTTATGTATGTAAAAATACTAGCAGCATAAAAACAAATATTTTTTAAGAGTTATAAAATTACTAAAAGTAAACATAGTGAGATTTAAAAGAAATAAGAGTTGACAAACAAAAGTGATCAAGTCAATAAATAGCAAAATATGACCATGTTATTTAAAAACACCAGTTATCCTTTTGGGAAAAAGCTTAAAACTATACAATATAAGCTATTCTTAACTTAGAAACACAGATCAAAAATGATCAAGTCTACTAGAACAAAATCTGTCAGCTTTAAGTGTTTAAGTCTAGCTGTATACACAATATTACAGAATTTACTAGAACAAAAGTTCTTCAGTTTTAAGTGTTTGAGTCCAGTTGTAGAACAGAATTGACTCGATCACACTTGACAGTGTAGCCACAACTTCTGAACACCACTGAAAGATTACTCAGATCACAAGATCATTTTTAATCATCCTTATAAATAGAGACTGTAGACATCAGTCAAAAAATTCTGACACATCAGACACGAGTCACTGTTTTCAATTTGTATTTGTTTAATAGCATGAACATCATAACAAGAAGGTTGCTAGAGTGCAATTTTTTAAGCAATTAAATCTGTTAAAATTTCTTTTTTTTTTTTAGTTATTTCGGCAAGTTTTGTAGATATATTCCTTAAAAAGATTATTTAAGTAGATTTTTATTTAAAAAAAACTAAAGCAAAAAATTTTGCTTTTAAGTAAATAGAAACATACATTAATGTTAAACTATAAGTAGACTGATCACATTGTCTAAAAGCCACTGTGTCTTCAGATTTACTAGTCCCTTACAGCAGTTATTTATCTTAGGATCTTTTAAACTGTAAATTAAAATGGAAATATTTTCTTTCAAATACATTCTTTATTCTAAATGGGGAAAAAACCAGAGGTTACATTTCGTATAATGCAAACCATACAAAAAAATGCTCAAAGCTTACATAAATGTTAAATGTTCAAACATTAATAAAACAAACTTTAGTTCATTTTAGTATAATAAACAAGCTTCTAAAATTGTTCTAAAAATAACAAAAAATAAAACATCCTAGATCAGCTCAGCCAAGAGATTTAGCTCTAATGTCATTTGATAACCTTTTTAAAGGAAGGTTTGTCATCAAGAAAGAAAAAAAGCATAATTTTTAGTTTTTCTTAGTAGTTTGCGATTCTGTATTGATATTATTAAGAAAAATATTAATTTTTGTACAATGTCTTCTTTAAGTGAGTTATTTCATGAGATACGAGTGCAGATCTCTGCGCAAAGCACTTGCTACACATCTTGCAAGCGTATGGTTTTTCTCCAGTGTGTGTTCTAGTATGCAACTTCAAGTGATCTTTTCGCAGTGTAGAATAATTACAATAGAGGCATTTATGAATTTTCATTCCAACACCAATTCCGTCAAGCAAATAAATTGGATCTGGAAGAAATTGAAATTCCAATAATAAATATATATGTATTTAAAAATCAATGATATTGATTAAAAAAAATCATAACATAAAAATGGTTTCCTACTTTGCTAATAACATTAATGGATCAAAATAAGATATACATAATAGGATTAATATAGCAGATACTGGCAAAATAATGAACAATAATTTTAGAAACACTTTATTTATTTGAAATTTGAGAAGAAAAAAATATTTACACTTATATGATACAAATGGACATACATATATATACAAATTAATATACAAGCATTCAAACTTAATGAAAATAATTTCAAGATTATAAAAAAAATATTAATTAAATTTTTTAATGCATTGTTTAAAACCATATGATTATGCTCTTTAGTATGCAACTGTCATTTTACAAAAACAGACTAGTTTACAAATCTATTTAAAAACAGTTTAATTAGATTTGAATATGTACCTATACATTCATTAATTCATTTGTATCCACAATGCAAGGCAACTGTAGAAATCAGAGTATGATTTTCAAACCTGTTTTCAGATTTCTAAAAACAGCAACTGAAAATATTTATTATCAAGGAAAATAATAGTGTTTATTCTTATGTATATGATTTTAATATTAATTCCATTGCATAATTTTACTTTTTCTTACATAAAAAAAACTTAACTCAACTAAAACGTTATTTTGAAAATGATGAACTATTTAACTTTTAAATATGCCACATGACACTTATGGATGGTTGACCGTGTAAAACTAAACGCAGTTGGCGCTCGGAGTTAAAATTTGTCGCAAGACTTTCGGCTTATTACTTTCGACTGACTTTTCACGCCTAAAAATGAAAAAAAACGCACCTTTTAATATTACAGTACAGAACCCGTTATCCGGAAATCAGAAAACCGGAACGAAATTCGATAAATTTTCCCGCTATTTTTTTAAAAAAAAATTTATTTTTCCTCATAAGATTTTAGGATTTTTCTTTCTTTTTTGAAAGATGTTTACCTCACCATCATTTTGGAAATAATCATTAGTGTATTCCTTCATCGTTTTTTCTTCTTTTTAAGATTATTTCCAAATATATATTTTTT